ATTATAATACTATCATTAGTAAAGCAAACAGAATGCTAGGCTTCATCAAAAGGTTCAGTCATAATTTCGAAGAACCACACACTACCACATATGTAAGGCCAATTCTGGAATACTGCCACCTAGTATGGAATCCATACATTTCCATACACGAAAAGCGCATAGAATCTGTCCAAAAACAATTCCTTTTATATGCTTTACGTAAACTGAATTGGACTGCATTTCGGTTACCATCTTATGAAGTGCGCTGCATGCTCATCAATATACAAACACTTAAGGAGCGCCGCCAATTTGAAATATGTACTATTCTTCATCAATGACATTATTTCAATGCGCATAGATTCAGCAGAAATTCTCGCACAATTATACTTTTACACACCTTGTCGATATCTTAGAACACGGAATTTATTTTCTGAAAAATCGTATAGAACAAACCATGCAAAAAATAGCCCAATCAATGGAATGATGCGGAAATAAATTAATATAGAATAAGGAAAATTTTGAGTCAGGAGAATGTGGATTTTGATAATTAAAAAAAAGATGTTTTAGAAGAGTGTTTATATTGAAGATTTTAGATTTTGGCAATTTTTTATTTTAAGAATTTAAAATTTATATGTTTCTGAGTTTGGTATTTGGAGATTTTGTAATTTTAATAATTTATAATTTGGAGCATTTTGCAGATGGAATTCGAAGATCTTAAAATTTTGTTAATTTGGAATCTAGAGAATTAAGGGTTTGGAGAATTTGAAATTTGATAAATCTAGAATATGGAATTCAATAAATTTGAAATTTGTAGAATAAGAACCTTGGGAAATTTGGAATTTGGATAATTTTGAATTTGGAGTATTTAAAATTTAGACCATGTGGAATAAAAAAAAAAATAGACGATTGGGAATTGGAAGAATATTTGCATTTTTATATTTGATTTGATTTATAATTGTTAAGCATGTGAATATATTCATCAATGATATATTTACGACTGTCATGGAAATGATTGATTAAAACCAGGGTTGCTTCCACTCACTTGATATAAAAAATGGTGTTTCGGTTTTATGAAAATATCAGATATTATAATGATAATTAATACTTGTAAGTAACAAGAAGAGGGTGTAAAGTATGAGCATGACTCATACAACTTTTAAATTTTGCGTTCAGTGCGTCACAATCAGCGATTTAACGATTCGTGAGCGCTCACTCTGAGTGAACGCTCGCGAATCACAAAATTGCTGATTGTGACACTCTGAAAGCGAAATTGACAGGTTTTATGAGTCAAACACATACTTAACATCCTCTTCTTATTACTTACAAGTACAACATACCATCATATCGTCTAATGATTTCATAATTCCGAAAAACATTTATTTATAGCATGTGGAGTGAGTGAAAGCAACCCTGATTGAAACTGATTCCTTATTTTACTAAAATTAAATTAAAAGTATATCCATGTAAACCCTTATCTGGGGTGACATTGGGCCAAAACATGCATTTCGTTAAAATATCTTAAAATATATATATTTTTTATCCTTGATTGGTTTTTCGCCGATATTGATATTGAGCTGAGCACCAATGCTACCGATGCCAGTAAGGCAGCTCCCTCACCTGGACCCTACCTATCGACGCATCAACTCATGAACCGGGGACCAACAGCTTTACTACTTTAGGCGTGATCAAAGATATTATGCCTCAGAAAATCCCGGGGCACCGACTAGGAATGCTTAACATTGTTTTCCTTCCTAAAATGTGAATGTTCGAAGGTAGGTAACAAAGAATTTTGATTTTTTGGCCCACTGTCACCCCAATTTACGATACTATATGAACAGCCCCACAAACGAAAGATAGTCATGTCGGAACACAACCAGGTTCACCTGTGGAACACTTAACCGCCAAACTCGTCCAATTTCGAGACTTGCGTTCAGAATTGAAAATAAGTAAACAACTACAGAAAAACTACTTAAATTGTATAAATAAATAAAAATAAAATATTGGCGTTCGCGGTGACTCTGTAGCTCTTTATTCTTATGGTAAAATTCATAAGAAAACGTCGGACTATGCGTGAAACACGGCGGACTTCGTACACTCAGGTCTTTTTTTACACGGGGATACGTACCGTGTAAAAAAAAACCGTGTAAAAAAAACCTAGGAGATTTTGATTTTTCACATGTTTCAATGTTTTTAATAAATCGGATTTTGATGCCATTTGTAATAATAGCATGCTATGGTCCATATAGACATATTTTTAAAAATTCTGTATTAACACCAATGCGATTTTTTTACAGTATGCCATTTGATTACCTATAGCTTGAAACGGATAATGTGATTGGAATCAAGTCGATAGGTTGTATCGTTGTCGAGAAAACATTAAAAACGTACCGTGTAAATCGCGAAAAACCGTGTAAAAAAAGACTTCAGTGAATTATCCTTTCCTCCACAGAAAATTTCCATAAGAAACTAGCTATCATCTAGATCATCTGTCAAATTGCGTATATTTTCAAGTTTGTGACCAGAAAACTATTTTTACGTGTTACTGTAATTTCTGTATTCAATAACAGATAGCAACAGGCTTACTTCCACTCACATTTTAAAACAAATTAGTTTTCCGAATCATGAAAATATTAGATATTATGATGATAATTAGTTTTTGGAAACCACAAGAAGAGGTTGCTTTCAGTGCGTCACAATCAGCGATTAAACGATTCGTGAGGCGTGATCATGCTTGGCATGCACAGTTGTACACACCAACTGCTCGTTTGGTAATAACTTTTCACTCAGATGTTGAAATTTATTTTTCTTTAAAGTAATTGATAGATTAGACTCATAGTTTACTATAGATATGCGAAGATTAGGTAAAGCTTAACATTGGAATCAACACTAATCATTAGCATTAAAATCTACTTTTTTTTTACATATCTATAACAAGCTTACACTCTATTATATCTACTGCTTTAAAAAGAACTATGTTCCGTCAACTGTGTGCAAAGTTATTAGCAAATGAGCAGTTCGTGACCAAAACTGTGTATGCCAAGCATGGGCGTGATCAGAGATGTTATGCCTCAGAACATCCCGGCAGCGCCGACTGGGATTGAACCTAGGCCTGCTGGGGTGAGAGGTAATCACGCTTACCACTACACCACCGGCGCCGTTCACAAATAATGTTAACAATACTTTAAATATTTTGTTTGTATTACTTCTGCGTGAAGCTAACGATTTATATAGTTGAAGATGCTAATTTCAAATAACAGACTAAAGTAGTAATTTTTATACTATAGATGAGGAGATGAAAGTATAGAGTTGATTGTTTCAGATGATAAATTTTCGGTGCATTTATTGAGAAAATAAGGTTCAGTGAAAGTGTCCTTATCACGCATTAATTTAGCAAAACCGTTCGACCACTTGAATTGGAACTACTCACCTCTCACCTGGTACAAGTTGTGCAAACTATTTAAGTTGTCGTAGTTGAGGTTGTAGTTCTAGTTGTTGCAGTAGAATAATACATTTATACAAAACAGATCACAAAACAGATCAACGTCGTAGTTGCTTCCTAACTCAACAGCGGCTGGAATCGCACTGTTCTCTGGATCTGGTTTATAAGGCAATGTGTTTTTACTTGATTGTCATAGGTGGTGGCCAGGATTGTCATAGATGGTAGGCATTAAAGCTCCGAGTTTATCAAATTGTTTTCCATTTGAGATATCATATAATACTCTACTAGCTCTCATAATACTCTACAAACGTTTCCCAGAAAATCGTCGGACCCAATCAGTTGACCAACATTGAGCTCTAATCTTATCGTGTTCTAATCAGGATAAGTTAATCATGTTCTACCCTGGGTAAGTTTATCATAATAATGAAAAAGTGCACACACACACACTTGACTCATATCACCGAAGTCGGTAGGAATTTACCGGGTTTTTGAACAGCAGAACAAGTCGGTAAATTTTTCAAATGACCGTTACACGTGATCATTATTTTTCATCAATAAATGGAGTAAACCGAACAAATTCTGTACAAGTTCAGAATAAATTTTCTAATAATTGTATTCTTCACTGATTTTTAAACTTTTACCGAACAGTTCTGTAGTGCAAAATTTACCGAACGATGGAGGCCTGGATTAGTGTGCAGAGTTTTAGAAATTCCCTGAATTCTCTAAATTCTATACTGCCACTATCCGCAAACCAATTACATAGGACATGGGGCAGTTATGCGAATGGCGGCTGGAAATCATAAATGTTCAATCTTTAACAGTTACTTAATTAGGAGGGTTAACTTTCTTTTACCTTTAGCGGAGCTTAAAGTATATTGATAAATGGAACATAATATTTGAAACCCATCGTTTAAATAATCAGTAGCCTTTTTGCAGTGAGCAAGAACTGTTGACAGTTTATGACAAGGATGACTCCCAAACCATCTGCCCAAGTGTCACCGAGTCACGCTACAGCCCTGCTCTTTCCTCCTATAACTTTTATGTGGTTATTTGTAAGCGGCCCCTTATAACCCTTAAACTTTATTAGCCTCTCGGCTCCGTAGAGCTCTCAACGGTATTGAGCCTTCCAAATAAAGATCTTTGAAAAATAAACCGTGATGCTACAGGTACTACAGTAAATTTAACATCTTCATGTACACTGATAGGCAAAATAAAGTTCCAAACTCATCATTTTTTGAGTTTCTCTCATTTATTTGGTTCAAATTAAAGAAAAATAAATGTAGTCTTTTTTTATATCTTCTTTTTTATATTCTATTAAAGTTTCACTTATGGACTAATTAAAAAAAGAGTTTTACTTACACAAAAAAAAAATCTATTTGTACTGAAAATAAAACACTGAAAAAAAAGTGCCCACTTCACTTTGGCTTCCGAAAAGATAAATTAGAGCACAAGAAAAGACCATAAGCTACGACAGCATTTTAATAATTAATGTGTCCTCTTTGGCCTTCAGGACCTGATGCAGGCGCTTCGGCATGCTCGCCACAAGGTGCTGTGGATCTAGTTCTTTGCAGGTGCGCTCCAGGGTAACACCAGTTTTGTCAACCGTCAAGAATCGCCCACAAATTCTCGATGGGGTTGAGGTCCGGGCTTTGTGGAGGCCATTCCACCGGTTTGATCCGACAAGACCGGAAGAAAGACGTGGTTTTGTTGATCTCCTGCTGAAATACGAACTTCTCTTCAAGGCCCCTCTGGATCAGCGAAACCTCCAGATTTTCCCGCAGGATGAATCTGCCGTCATTATCCCATCGATTTTTACGAGACTTCTCAATCCACACCACGAAAAACACCCCCAGCCCATTACATTTCCTCCTCCATCATTCACTTAATTCATTCAAGCCGTCAAAGCGCAAAAAAAACAGCTTGAATTTAGATTCGTGAGTTCAGAGCTTATCAGCATGCTCCTTAGCAAACTTAAGCCGTTTGGCTTGCGGATAAATGGGTGGTTCCGAGCAACTTTGCTATCTAAAAGACTGACGGTTACGAACGGTGACGTGACGGTGACGAACAGTTCGATCAGAAACTGGACTTTGGAGAACAACCGTTTAGTGATGAGTGTGTGAGTGCTGACCACGTTTTGCGTCCATTGCTGCAATGGAAGCGCTCTGAACCGTTGGAAATACTGCCATACAATTAAACCACTGGAAGCGGCTCCCGTTCTGATGGAGGAGACTTTTTGGATAGCGGAAGATGAAGTGGTTATTGTGTTGTACCTTTCGACTATAGCTTTAAGATGTATTTTATAGTGACGAAGAATCATCGGTTCTGTAAAGATAATTCTATTGAGCCTTATCAAATAAATTAATAATCAAAAAAATTGTCACTCTATTTACGATTGCCTTCCCACAGATTACAAAATAGAGTACCTGATACTGCAAAATATGTCTAGTACCTCTATAAATGCATTTAGATTAACATACTTAATCCCTCCTTTTTTACATATTCTTAACAAAATATACTTTGTGGGAAATGGTGGGAAATCCTATTAGGAGCTTAGCTTAGAAAGTATTTTGTGTGCAGTATATGTAAAAAAGAAGGGAGTACAGATTTTTTTTGTGCAGAATATATCTAAAAGAAGAGATTTCGGATTTTAGTCTTAGTGCATATAAAGAGGAATCATACATGTTTTGACCGCACTACCCTCTGTAAACAATTAACGTAACTAAGTGAATGCGTAATTTTGGATAGATATCACCATTAAAAACAACATTAGCAGAATCATGGTAAGATGATTAATTAATTCAAAATCATGACTGGACTGGCCTTTTGAAGTTCGTGATTAATTAATATGGGAAAAGTTCACTTTTTGCAATCACGGTCATAGCCCTTCTGAAAGATTTACTATCTGTACTTATGTGCATTATAACTTATTATCCTGACGATCAATCAAAAAGTGGTCGCCAGCAAAGCTATTGCTGTAAAATGACATATGAGTATAGATGGTAAACTTGCATATCATTATGGCAAAGGGCTAGGACGATTAGTATAAGAAGTTAACTTTTCCCATAGTAATTCCCACATAAACTTCAAAGGGCCAGTGTAGTAGGATTTCGCAACAAAATGATCTTTGATTTTCAAAAAATGACCAGCATCTGATTTTGAACTGATTAAGTGGGGTGAAGCACACTTATGGACAATTTTCACGTTGGCCCTATGTGCCACTGAAAAGTAATTTAACAAATTTTTACAACTGCTATTTGAAAAATAAAAGGAGTTACAACTTGGATCGAATATGAGTATCTGTATTTTTGGCATCACCCCAACGAGAGTGGCATTATTGCTTGCACCAGGTAAACTTCCCAAAATAATGTTTCATAAGAAAATTAACTTTAAAACCACGCCTTTCAAATGCCTAACCAGTCCAATCAATACTAGGACGGCCACATTACTCGTATATAACACAGCGGATGATGTTTCAAATTTCTGCAATCGTATATGCTCAACCTTTGGAACGTCGATAGTTTCATGTTTGGCTTTGTTTCTTTTGATATATAATCCAACCAATTTTTCTGAAAATTTTTCGTCTTGACAATCTTTGTCGAGCTGCATCATCTTCTGGATATTATCCAGGAGGTCCATATTTTTGTTATGCTCTAAATCAAAATTAGGACTACCGGCCAGACATAGTGTTTTCAAATGGCTCAGCTGGTTGATGTTCGGTTCAAAGGCCACCAGGTGGTTGTGACGTAGATTAAGGTACTTCAGTTGAGTTGTCCATTGCAGGACATCGGCATCCAGTCTTGCTATGTGATTGTTCTCTAGGTTCAGTTCTAGCAGATTTGGCAGCCTTGCCAGGGTCATATGATCTAGCCATTCGAATCGACAGTGTATGCAGCTGAGCTTCCGTAGTGATGTGCTCAGTAGGAATGGAGTGTTGGCCTTATTGGATAGACGATCGTTCCAGTCCAGGTGGAGAATTTCCAAATTTTCCAATGTTTGAAATGACTGCGCAGCGATGAATTCAAGATTGTTGTGCGATAGACTCAGAAACGTTATGCCTGGGTTACTGGTGAACAATGAATTGGAATCAATGGATTTAATGTTGTTACCTTGGAGATGTATAGATTTTAAATTGGGCAACTCTTTGAAAGTTGGCTCGTATATTTCTGTGATTGAGCAGTTCATCAACGACATTCGTTCAACCCGCGAGCTATTTAGGAATACTCTATATGGTTTGAAGTCAAACGAATGGTTATTGTCAAATAATACTTCCGTCACATTTTGGTCATCAATTACATAATCTGGTTCTATGTACACGATGGCTCTATTGGAAAGGTCTACCGTCATTCCATCACTACTAAGGTGATGAATTGTCATTTTCTTGTACACAGCATGGCCACTGACATTCGGCAGATAGTTTTCAAACTTAGTCAAATGATTGCCATCATCCAAACAACCCTTGCGAAGACTTCTCGTTGAGTACAGAGTCTTTGCTTCGTCAATTCGAGGACACGGTTGAAGCGGATTCCTGTCCAGACATAGTTGCTTCAACCCATTCAACGGAAGCTCTAACAGAACCGTGGGAACCTTTGTAATTAAATTATCGTCCAGTAGGACAACTTTGATGTTTGTATTTTGCATAAATCCATGCTCATTCACCCGAGTAATTCTATTTGCTCTCACATTAATATATTCCAGTAGCGGTAGCTTAGACGTGTGCAGTGTTCCTTCCAAGCTGCATCTTTCGGCACTCAATTTCATAAGCGATACTGACTTGAGGTTCAACCGTAACAAGCCCCGGTTTCCATCAACGTTCAATATCTTGACATACTTGGCCATCATCAAAGCATCATCATCGATTCGCTCCATTCCATTGTGCGACAGATACAGCTGTGAAAGCCTCGGCATGCGGGCAAGTGTGTTCCGATCGAGAAAGGTAGTATGGCAGTGATTGCAAGTGAAGAAAAACATCCTGGTTCCTTGCAATTCCACTTTGTTCAAATCAAATCGCTCGTTCCAGCTCAGATCTAGCATTGCTAGGCCAGCAATGTGCCGAATAGTTGCTTCCGAATTGAATGTGGAAAGTTGGTTACCTGCAAGACTGATCTTTTCCATACGGGTATTGTACTCGAATGCATCCGGATGTACGTATCGAAGACTGTTATTTTCCATAATAAGGTGAGTTAGTTGTGGTAGTTTCGACAAGGAAAGCTGGTAGATGGAATGTATGCCACAGTTGTTGCACACGAAACGAGACAGTTCATCGTGAATCAGCAGAACCTGGTCTACGGGGAATTCGAATCCCGTTTGATTGCTCATGTCCAGCTGTAGGAGATTTGGATAGACGGCGTACATTGTTTCGTGACTGATGGCATGTTTAGTCGCGATTGAGGTTATGTCCGGAAACCTGATGTCGGAAGTGATGCTTTTCACGAATAAGATAACACTGGGCAGAATCCATTGAATGTGAATGATGAATTTACGTGCCATGTCCTGCAAAGAAATGGAAAGGTTACGTAGATATTCGAAACGATTTTTTGTCTGATGTTAGTGTCGAAAAGTATCATCGTTTTTTTTAATCAATTCTAATATGATTTTCATAAAATTATTATGCAGGGTGCATTTTGGAACACTCGTGGCACGCAATAATTGTATTACCCAAGAAGTGATGAAACGTACTGCAGCTGCAAATACAGCTTTTTATGGATTGTGTAACCAGCTGAAGTCCCGCAACTTGCAGACGAAAATAAAGTTCGATTTGTAACAAATGTTGACAAATTTGGAAGTGCTCTACGGTCACGAATCAGGACAGGCTGATTGGAACGTTTTTCGGCGGTGAACAAGAAAATAAAATCTGGCGACGTGGCGTCGGATGAATCTCCAGTCGTATCAACTGTATATGGCCTCAGATAGCCTAGTCAGCTAGGCATGGAATTACCAAGCCAGAGGTTGTCCTCCATTCCTGGTCCAGTCTTGCCACACAATATACAAATGAATGCATTGGTTGGCACAGAAAACTTTAAATTGATTACAGTGTAAGTGCTTGAAGAATACTATGTTGGGAGCAGATGAAAACTAGTGTAAACGCTTCAAAGCGAAGAAGATGAAGATCAAGTATATAACAGTATGTATATTAAAGAGGTAAACCAGCTCACGGTTTGAAGTCTCTATAATAAAGCAAAAAGAAGTACAAAAGTATGGATATTGTGAAGATGATAAAACACGACCGGCTGTGGTGGACTGGATTGCTTGCAAGAGAAACAAGCGAAGTTAATATTCAAAAGATAACCTGATAGAGATTCCTCGACTCCACAGTGGAGCTCGCACATGTTGGATTTTTGCAGTTAAGAAGGACATATTGGAAAAGAACTCTACGGTCTGCGTAAAATTAAGTAATTGATTTTTTTTTTTAGCTCCTCCACCATGAGCCCCAAATTTGATTCAAAACAGATCTAATTGGCATAGCTTATTTTATCTGTCAATCTCCTTCTCTTTAAATAACATTAACATGTTTTAAGCTATTAAGATTAATGTATAATAAAAAGTAGAAGGGTCTGTGTTTAGGGGCACGAACGAAAGCTTGACGTAGGACCAGTAGTGGACGGAACAAATATGTCAATCATTTAGTTCTTAACTCTTTCCGTTTTTGAATTGGTGGCCCTGAAAAGGGCCGGTTGTTTTTATTATGGTGGCCACACCAGTGCAAGTCGATGCCAACCGGATGATGGTGGCCTAGTCATGCTGCCTACCCTAGCAGCACACTTGTCACTGAACAATTGTGGTTACTTGTATGCAACTTATTCCAGTCACAATCAAGTTGCAGCAACGTGTTTCGATGAAAGTGTGCTTCTTGGGTATTTCGGGAAGCCTTTCTTCCGGTCGATGTGGGTGCTTTCGTACTCGTCTCAGTGATGTCACTTATACAGATTTAACATATTTTTTTTTAATATACGGAATTTTCAGATTTTTCAATAAGTGGAATATATGTTAAACTCTGGATTATATTTATTAATATACATAAATATTCCTTTCTTCCTTTTGAGAAGGTACGAGCACCTAACCAAATAACAATTCTTCACTTTTTATTTTATTATTTTATTTTGACCAGACTTCTGATGCTCAGATGTTTTGATTTCTAATTGCTCGTTAAAAGGGATGTTAGTGTTTCATTCTTATTGTTTAATTAACCATATCACATGCTGACAGGTATTATGATTATTTTTCTTTGATTACAGTTTGTGAGTCGAAGAGTCAACTGGATATTTTGACATTTGACTAGCGTAATATCAGAAATAAAGAAAATTCTATACAATTCTACTTAAGTTGATACTCTAAGGAAGCCTTAGCGTGGAACTTTATAGGCATAAATGTCAGCTTCCACAAAACATACAAATTTGAAATTGCTACTCCTTGTTTGCTGTGCTACTACAAACAGAGAGTAGCAATTTTAAATTTGTATGTTTTGTGAAGCTTTGAAGTTTCACGCTAAGGCTTCCTTAGAGTATCACCTTAACATCCAAATAAAATTTATGCGTTGTGACAAAATACAATAAAGTTGAACACGTTTGCAAATAGAGAAATACAGATGAACCATCCCAAAGTTTTTCACAACAAATACTAAGTACACTTAGATAGAAATTTGCTGCTGCTTTATTTTCCGAGATGTTTATTGAAAATTTAGTGCAATAAGTCCTTTAGTTGGTGCATTTTGGACACCTGAAATTTTTTTCAATAATTTCGCGTGTGTTTATTAGTGCTGTGTTTGGTTATTTTAAAAAATAGGATCGACAGAGTTTTTAACATTACCGCGAATGAACAAACCGGGTTTTGTCTTTCTTCGCCGCCGCCGTGAAACGTTGCGAAAAAGCAGATCTCCGCTGAGTTTTCTAATGTACGCTGTTGAATCGTGTCCGTTTGTGTATAGTTACAAGTGCATAACGATCCAGAAACCGGAAGTTACAAAATAAGTCCAGGAGTTAACGGTGATATCCAGTGGAAGTAGGTTAATCGAACGTGCAAATTTTCTCTTGCAAAGTGCTGCTGCCTGCAAGCCAAAATGGGCGCGTATCTATCGGAACCACTCTCAACGAGCAAGGAGGCAATTGATTTGCTTGCTTACGGTTCCAGCTCGATGCAAGGCTGGCGGATCAGCCAGGAGCAGTAGTTTCTAGTGAAAGAAATCAAAGAAACCACATCACATCACTAAACATAACCACGAGCAATGACGAAGAACTGCATCCCAAACCCCATGATAACGAAGGATCGGATGCATCAATGAAGCTTTTAAGCGCAAAAAAATCATTATTAACACAGGAAAAAATTCGGTAAGATCCTTCCATTGCATTATTTTATGATTCTTCAATGATGTACGCATCCTTCCACCCCTGTAGATTCAAGAAATGTACCCATTCATTTCCAAGAATCATCTTTGCGGCAAATACAACGCAGTAGGCCTGGCCGTATTGATGTTTATATCATATCTTAGATACGCTGTAAACATCAATTATTAAACAAGAAAAATGATTAGACCTCATCTAACCTAATCATTTTCTAGGATGCTTTCTCGTACTGGCTGCGTTTGTATTAAATTAGATTAGAGATTATTAGATTAGACAAATACTGAGTACACTTAGATGCATAGTTTCGGGCAACAGCTAGCGAATTCAATATCCTTTTAATCTGCCAAATTATTAGATAAAAAAAACTACAAGAGACAGCCCAATGGGGTTGTACGTTATGGTGATCATTAGGATGCTTTTTTAGTGACATATTTGAGTTATATTTTTTGAATGCGGTATGTAAATGCAGTGCAATATAATGTGGTGAACAGTCAAAACACAGGTATGCAAATGTTAATACTTCCGACGTCACCGCAGTCCACTTCTGCTTGGAGATATTCCTAAAAATCTCCAGCTACACTAACAATTTGACGTTTAGCATGTGTTCTTACAACAATTTTAATTCAACCTTAGGTTGAAATTGTTGTACAAAGCAAACCTGTGTTCAGTTTTTAAACATCTAAATCTGATGATTTTAATCAACCGAAAACTTAAAAGTAATATAAATTTTAAGCTCAGCGGTGCCGGTTCTGGGTTCAATGCCAGACGGCGTCGCCGGGATGTTCTGAGGCATAACATCTCTGATCACGCCTTCCTTCGGAAGGGAAGTAAAGACGTTGGTCTTGGTCCCCGGTTCATGATTTGATGGTCGATAGGTCGATAGGTAGGGTCCAGGTGTGGGAGCTGCCTTCCTGGCGTCGGTAGAATTGGTGCTCAGCACGAAAAACAAGATCAACGGAAATCAAACCAAGGAAAAAAAATAAGCTGTCTAAGGCATTATATAACAGTCTTTTTCAACTTTTGTTAATTAAAAAAAATCAAGGAAGACCACTTCATATATTATAATTGTTATGGGACTGTTTTACCTTATACTGACAAATGGGATCTCTACTGCTGGCACTGATTGGGATTAGAAAGGTAGACAATGAATTTTAAAGAACTAAAATGCCGGAGATGCAATGTGTGTCACTGACGACAATTAATTCCTATTCTTCTAACAGGCTATCCACATATTTGTAGCGCGTTGCTGATTTGTGGAGTAGTGTTAAGCTTAAACAAGTCTTCTCCAATCTTTAGATCAGCTAACTTATTGAGGTTGAGTTTTGGGGATACAATTCACTTTATGCACTAATAATCAACTTTATATTCAGCCTGGTGTTAATCAAGCAAACAATAATCACCTTTTGTTCTTACTATTCAGCTTGAATTCTTACTAGGGATATACATTAACAATTTAATTGCGCTCATTTGGTAACATTTAACATTAACAATGTTTCGAAAACGATGCTTGTCAACAATCTAATTCCATCCACATTATCTATGTACTGGAAAATCAGCGAATTTTACTTGGCATGTAATGAACAACAGAAACAACAGAACAACAGAAATACGCGATAATTCATATCATATGCATATAGGATAAACACCTTTGCCCGGCACCTCCACTGGTTCTTCATGTCCGGTATCTACCAATACTTCCTGTATTGCCATGGTCATCTGGGAGGAGGGTCGCATAGACCACTTCCAGGCCAATTAGGAAATAGAAATTAAAATTTTGAGAGTTGGTTGGAAATGCTAACATGAAGCTTTAGTGTGATGATTTATTAGCTAGAGAATGATCTTTAGAAGAATGTAGGTGGATAGTTCCGTTAGAGTACGGCAGTATGAAAATTGAATAGAAGTTGAAAATGAGCGAAGGGCCATTAAAGCGACAGTTTTTCAAGATGACGCACATTTTTGCCTAGCCCGTACGATGTACGCGGGGACTTGAAGTATGTCTCCAAGTCCACAGGCAAAAATGTGCGTCCCTCTTGTTGCTCATAAACTGACTGCGGCTGTGGAATAGTTCTAGCGACGTTTTCATCACTACCTAAAGCCCCACGTTTGCGAGAGCATTTCCAGTCGATGGTGTGTTATAATGCAGTTCTTCTTTACCCAACTATTGTGTTGCTCCTCTCGTCATGACCAACGTGATCATCTCAGAGAGAAAGCAGTAGGGTGGTTGTTGCGTGCTGTACCATCATCAGCATTGTTGACGGCTACTCCCGCCTATTCAATTTTCATACTGCCGTACTCTAACGGAACTATCCACCTACATTCTTCTAAAGATCATTCTCTAGCTAATAAATCATCACACTAAAGCTTCATGTTAGCATTTCCAACCAACTCTGAAAATCGTCAACTTCGCGTATGAAGTAACATAAAAAACACTTTGAATGTAACAACTCAAGGCGGGAGTAGCCGTCAACAAGTGTGTGTGTGTGTGTGTGTGTGTGTGTGTGTGTGTGTGTGTGTGTGTGTGTGTGTGTGTGTGTGTGTGTGTGTGTTGTGTTTGTGTATTATAATCGCTCTACCAAAAAACGATCCCTGCGTATGCGTGCAACCTTTTCCCCACATCCAACATCCCAGTGATTTCTCGTGGAAGCGCTGAGGATTTCTCGGTTTCCTTCACAGCGAGTACCACGTCAACACATTCCTTCCCATTCCCTAGTTGACCTGCATTCGGACACGGCCGGCGATGGTATTGCTAAATATTAGATCTCCAGTTCTTACACATTGAGGATGAATGTTAGTCCCAAACATCATCTGTTGGTTCTCTGTGTAATTGCAGCTGATCTGGTAATAACAGAGCAGCAAACATGGGCTGAATCTGATTTGATTTGATTTGAATTCATTCTGATTTCAGAGAGCAATTCATCCAAATTTAAGATAATTCTTATAGAGTCCAGAGAGTCATCCATCCTAAATTGCTTTCTGTATTTAGAGGAGAATTCATACTGATGTTAGAGAGGATTTAATTCTAGCGAGTTATTAACAAACGAGAAAATCGACGAAGAAAATCGATCATCGCGTTTACACCCTTACGCATGCTCACTGTTGAATTCATTCATCTTTTTTTTTTACATGAGAATTTGTTGTCGTGAGTGATGTAATCGGTGATTACGATTTTGAACATAAATAAAAAAAAAAACTAAAACTAAAATAAAAATATAAATATGTGTAATGTTGCATCTAAAAATAACCTAAATGAACGGAAAAGTAATACTTTTTACCATGCATGAACTATCATAATCTCGATTTGGTTAGTTTGACGTCTTACACGTACAAGGGTGGCAATCCAAGTAAAAATTGGGGTTTTTTACGAGTGTTCTGTAGACCATGATTTAGACTTGTAAAATGCATTAAATCCACGAAATAACTGACAATGTCGCTTGGGAAACGTTTATGACGGATCAAAACTCTCTGCTCCACACTGCTCTTTCAATCTGTTTAGAAGTTCCCAACAACTGTTTATTACCGCAGTCAAATGAAATAATTTCTTCAATACCTTTAGATTTTTTTCTGAATGCGTCGGAGTGCCAACAGTATGACTTCGTGGAGGACCAGACGTATACTGCCGTATAGTTTTGCAATATGGAGATAATGGTGCATCAGAACCTATCTAAAGTGGTGATATAGCCGTAGTCTGAAGTGGGGATAGCGAGAGTCAATGTTATAATAAGAATTCTGAGGCATATCATCTCTTATTACGCTGTGGTGATAGCATGCACTTCATATTTGCCTTTAAGTACAACACAGTACAAGTACAGAACAATGAAAATATCACTGTTGAAGGCCTTCCCAACTAACATTGACAGCTTTATAAGCCAACTTTCCCAGCTTTGTGCTGTAAAGTAGATTAAATAAAGCTGCAGATACAGCCACAAGCAGAAGCTAGCAAAATAGTTTTGGAAAGTGTTTACCCAGCTTTTTTACAACCATTATTCAACTTGTCAGTCGCATCGCCAATAAACACCAATGTCACTTCTATACACATACTAATCAGCTTTCACCTTGTAGCTGCAAAACAAAGCAAAGATGCCCCGTAACGTGGGTAGATCATCTTTTCGAGGTACGTTACGGGATGTAAGATCTACCACCGATTCCTTGTCCTGACTTCTTCAAACTAGGGGAACAGGTTTTGTTCTGAATCCTTTGAAGTGCTTTTTTCCTGGTAGTGCAACAACAAGACCATATTGGCACAGCATAAAGCATGGCCGGTCTAAAAACTTGTTTAAATATTAGAAGTTTATCGTCAGGCAAAGTTTGGATTACCTGTTTATAAGAGGATACAAACATTTTATATAGTTTTTACATTTGGCTTGAATACCCTCAATGTGATCTTTAAAAGTTAATTTTTGGTCAAGTATTAATCCAATATATTTCACTTGGTTTGACCAAGAAATTGGAACTCCGTTCATAGTGACTATATGACTACTACTAGGTTTCAAAAACGAAGCCCTAGGCTTATGTGGAAATATTACAAGTTGAGTTTTGGAAGCGTTGGGAGAAATATTCCCTTTTTGTAAATAAGAAGAGAAAATATCTTAGCGGAAATGCCTGTATCATCAGTGAACAAAGATTTGTTGCAACCCTGAGGCAAATCAGGGAGGTCCGAAATGAAAATGTTTTACAATGTAGGCCCAAGAATGCTACCCTTAAAAACTCCAGCTCTAATAGGTAGTCGTTTGGATTTGTAATTTTGATAATTGACCTACATAGTTCTGTCAGTTAAATAATGTTGAACTATTTTCGATCTCAGACGCTTCAATCAGAAATACTGTCGCACTGTATACTGTAACCCATTCACCAAACGATTATTGTCAACAGCGAGCAACGAATATCTCACATACAACCGCATTCCTTACAAGAGCTACACAAGGCGTGTGCAGGCTAATTTACGGCTTAATCCAAAGCAGTTCTGGTCATTTGTGAATACCAAACGAAACGAGGATGGGCTACCAGTCGAAATTCACCTGGGTGATAGCAATTCCCTTGACAAATGTAATCTTCTGACAGAACATTTCAAAAGCATTTTCAATGACACTACGGTCCCAAGTTGCTGAAGCGGTGCGGGACACTCTCAGTGATGCTTTCAATTGTAACCTCGGTTACAGTAGACCTCATCGAATCCACCATCAAGAAGCTGAAATTTTCTAATTCTGCTTGCCCTGACGGGATCCCCTCAAGCATCCTGAAGCGATGCTGTTCAGAGCTTACAACACCGCTTTCGAAGCTGTTCAATATTTCATTACAGCAGGGGGAGTTCACTACGCGTTGGAAATCGTCATTCATGTTCCCGATCTACAAGAAAGGAGACAAGAGAAACGTCGAAAATTACCGAGGGATCACATCACTCAGTGCCTGCTCTAAAGTTTTCGAAATCATCATCAACGACGCATTATTCTCTAGCTGCAGAAATTACATTTCTCCTGACCAACACGGTTTTTATCCCAAGAGATCAGTTTCAACAAATCTAGCTCCGTTCATTTCTTTATGTCTTCGGAGTATGGAAGCTGGAGCGCAGGTGGACGTTGTATATACAGATCTTAAGGCTGCATTTGACCGGGTTGACCACTCCATACCGCTAGCTAAACTTGAAAAACTCGGTGTATCCTCGGGTTTAACTCGTTGGTTTAAGTCCTATCTGACCAATCGGGAACTTTTTGTTAGAATCGGAAAAGAGCAATCGGACTATTTTACAAACAGCTCCGGTGTTCCTCAAGGTAGCAACTTGGGACCATTGCTATTCTCGATTTTTTGTAAATGAGGCCGGACTGATCCTCCCAACTGGTTGCCGATCGTTCTACGCGGATGATGTGAAGATCTATGTGATTGTTCGTAGCTTCGCCAATTGCTTGCGGCTTCAGCACCCAATCGATACTTTCGAAGAGTGGTGCTCAAGAAACTATCTCATGTTGAATGTACAAAAATGTAATTTTATCGCAAGCTGAAACCAGTGGCATTCAACTATACGATAAATCACCAACTTCTGCAACGTGTGGACAATGTTCGTGACCTAGGAACCACGCTGGACTGCGCCTTAACATTCAAGCTTCATTACTCGGGCATCGTTGCGAAAGCTAACAGGCAACTCGATTTCATTTTCAAGATCGCTGACGAGTTTCGCGATCCTGCCTGTCTAAAAGCTCTATACTGCTCTCTAGTGCGATCGATCTTGGAATTCAGCTCGGTAGTATGGTACCCGTATCAAGAAGTTTGGATAGCGAGGATTGAATCTGTTCAAAGGAAATTTGTTCGGTATGCCTTTCGTCACCTTCCTTGGAATGACCCTGTGAACCTTCCGCCGTACGAAGATCGTTGTCAACTCCTGGATCTTGAAACACTAGAACATAGGCGAACGATTATTCAGGCCGTGTTCGCAGCAAAAGTACTTATTGGTGATATCGACTCTCCATGAATCTTGGCTGAATTCGAAATCTACGCACCCGAACGAGTTCTTCGGTCGTGGAGTTTCCTGCATCTTGGACCTCCAACTGCGAACTACAGCTTGCATGACCCAATACGGTTCATGTCTGGGAGTTTCAACGAGTTTTACGAGTTTTTTCGACTTTAACTGTGCAGCGAAAACCTTTCGTCACCGTATTCAACGCAGACTCCTGAGAAGGTTCAACTGCATGACGAGGACTACATGATTCACGGACAACTTTATGCCATAGGATGATAACTTTTTTTATGCTATAGACTTGATGAATGTTCGTTGTAATTGTATTATTATTATTAATTTATTTGATAAGGCTCAACCGAATTAACTTTACAGAGCCGAGGATTCTTGTTCACTATACAATACATCTTAAAACTATAGTCAAAAGGTACAACACAATAAACATTTTATTTTTCGCTATCCAATAAGCCTCCTCTACCAGAACGGGAGCCGCTTCCAGTGGTTTACTTGTATGGCAGATTCGCCAACGAGGGTCAGAGAGCTTCCATTGTAGCAATGGACGCAAAACGTGGTCAGCACTCACACATTCATCACGAAACGGTTGCTTTGCAAAGTCGACGACGCATCGACTGAAAGAACTGCTGATGAAGAACAATGAGGAGGACCACACAATGGTTGCTGCCGAGTAAACAAACGATCGCGTGACACACATTGAGAGTGGTCTGCTTCTGTCGACAGCCGAGTGAACACTGTGTATTGTATTATTGTGATTTTATATTTCGATATGGGGTTTTTATGCCTTTTCCCCATCAGACTTCATTTAGACACGTCCGATGAAGAAAAATAAATTAAATAAATTAAATAATATAGAGTGGAAAATTAAACTTTTTCAATTTAGCAATCAAACATTCATGCCAAACACTGTCGAATGCTTTTTCTATGTCTAGAAGAGCAACTCTAGTTAAGCAGCCTTCAGATTTGTTTGAACGAATTAAATTGGTAGCTCTTAAGAGTTGATGAGTAGTTGAATGCCCATGGCGAAATCCATACTGCACATCTGCAAAAATTTAGTTCTTATTGATGTGAAGCATCATTCTATTCAAAAATATCATGATAAAAAGCTTACTGAAGAAAGCAAACTTATTGGACGGTAGCTAAAAACTTCAGCTGGATTTGATCCGGCTGCAAAATTGGAAAAACTTTTGCATTATTCCATTTATGAGGAAAGTATGCTGAATGGAAACATTTGTTAAATAATTTTACCAAGAAAGACAAGGTACTCTCTGAGAGTTTTTTTATAAGAATAAAGACAATTCCATTCATGCCCTGGAGCTTTCATATTATGAAACTTTTTAGTTATAGATCTGACTTCGTCCAAATCAGTCCCGCAGGAATCATCAAACATAGCGCATAGCAAATTTGTGATCAAAATTTTACCACCTATCATCCACAATAGTTTGTACAACGTACTCAATTATTTTATACACAAAATAAACCATTTGCCTGTACTCTACTGTGGAGCGTGCTGAAATACCTAAGATCGGTAGTTGGTCCAGACGAAGACCATTATGGCGGTTGCTAAAATTATGCCGGACAAGTCATGACCAATGGCAAGATGGACCAAACTGCCGTCTGTAAAGACCATCACTAAGGAAAAAAAAAGTCATGACCAAGTAGGAAGAATAGGCATCTTCCAGCTAGCGTATCTGCGTCGATGCTTAAGGTTCGAGAATGCTGATCATTTGTTCAGACTGAATTATTGAATTATTTTCCAAGAAAAACGAGCGATAAAGTTTCTGATATGATCTGGACTTAAATTCCAAATGAACATCATAAATATCACAGCATGTTGGATAAACCATTCTTAATTGTGTAAGTGCTAGCGTCTTTGTTTAAAGGATTTTTTTTAGATTATCGTGGTGTTTAGATCCGTTAAATTGTAGAAAAATAATGGCAGGTAGTGTTCGTGAGTGTTGTGCAGTGTTCTCCTTTGTCAAACTCCCCAGTAGGCAAAAATAGAACATCTTACCGTAGAACGCAACAATCCACTCCACCGAAAATTGCAAACCTCACCACCAAATGGACGAACAACCGCCTATTGGGAGGCGATAGAGATGGACATTTTGAATGGAGGACTTGGAGCAGTGACCCAATGACTCTCTCATTTATCTTTATCTTTATCTTTCTTTATTAAAGAGATTTTCTGCCATCGGTTGATTCATCTCTGGACTCATTCATTTTTCAAATTAATAATCACTGATCATAAGACCACCAGCGCAAAACGTAGATCAAGCAAGCAAGCTAGCTAAATTTAATTGGAATAGCGAACCAACGTGAAAACATTAATTATTAGTTGAAACTGTGAAAAGTGTGAGGAGAGAGTCAAGGGCAGCAGGTAAAAGACAATAATTACCATTTTGGTTAAAATGGTCTGTCGTGACCGGACCGAGGTTTCCAGCCTCGGTCATGGCTACACGAATCTCGGCTGCTATACTTCCACTGCTGCTGCTGCTGTTCCTGCTGCTGCTGCTGCTGCTGCTGCTCGTCCGTCGCTTTCAACGTTCGTCACAAGAATGCCTTCTGCGAGTTAGTTTTTTAGTTTAAATGATCTTTATTTTAGTTTAACTTGGACGATTACCATATAAATTTTTACTAAGTGATTTAATTGCTTTCTTCATCTTTAGGTATGGGCAAAATTCAAAATTTGTTTTACAGAATTAGTCCTAGACTTAGTACACGGTCGACCACCTTGGTGGGATTGGTTTGTTTTGTTTTTAGAATTTGAAGAGAAACTACTTAATACTACTATTTACAGCTTAAAACTAACCTACTCTACTATATACACTTAACCTACTATGTACAAATTGCTTATTAAAGCATGTTCAGAAAGATTGCATTTTTGAATAAATTTAGTTGTCATATCATCAATTTTGGAATCTACTTTGGGAATTTCTGCCTCTTGATGGAGGTCTGCTATTCTTGTGTCGAATGGACGATCTAGGATCATCCTCAACACTCTATTCTGTGCAACCTGGATTTTGTTCCTGTGGGTCTGAGCGCACGATTCCCACACCGGGGCGGCATAGAAGATCGCGGAGGCTATGATCTGTTTGTAAACAGCCAGTTTGTTTTGCCTTGAGAGGCGGGATCTGCGGCAAATGAGCGGATACAAACACCTAACCAAGGCGGAGCACTTAACTAGGGTTTTCTCTATGTGCGAGCGGAACAGGAGCTTCTCATCGAACAACATCCCGAGATAAGTAACATCAGTGCACCACTCGACCCTTGTACCATCCATTATTACGGTACAGGAGGGAGACGGTTTAAGTTTTAATGATTGTCTGTGAAGGAACATGATCGCTTGGGTTTTCGAGGCGTTGATTTTGATTTTCCACGTGGTGGCATAATCAGTAAAGGTGTCAAGGCATCGTTGGAGCTTGTTCGTAATTTCACGAGGCATCCTACCCTTGACGGCTATCGCGGTGTCATCTGCGAACAGAAAGAACACGCAACCGTCTCCTAGAGGAGGGATGTCCGACGTGTAGATGCTGTAAAGCAGTGGTCCCAGCAGACTCCCTTGCGGAACACCTGCTGGGATCGGAAATTGTCCCGAAAGGGAACTATTCAACGACACCCTGAACGACCTTTGCTGGAGATAGTTACGGGTGATTTTCACAAAGTATGGTGGAAAGTTGGAGTTACAAAGCTTGTATATAAGTCCGTCGTGCCAGACATTGTCAAACGCCTTTTCGACGTCTAACAAGGCCATGGCTGTGGACTTGGATACAGCTTTGTTACTTCGGATGTTATTCATCACCCGCACTAGCTGATGATTGGTGGAATGCCCCTTGCGGAACCCGAACTGTTCCGGAAGAAGAATGTCATGTTCCTCCACAAACTTGTTTAGTCGGCTGAGGATCAATTTTTCGAACAGCTTGCTCAGCGCTGAGAGCAGGCTAATCGGTCTGTAGCTTGACGGTAGTGAAGGGTCTTTCCCAGGTTTGCGGATCGGGATGATTTTTGCCACCTTCCAGATGCTTGGAAAGTAGTGCAGCTCCAGGCACCTGTTGAGGATGGCAGCCAGCAGCGAGTGCACCCTCGCGCTGATATTTTTCAACTCTAGGTTGAATATTCCGTCAAACCCGGGAGCCTTCATGTTCTTACTGTGTTTCAGCGCTGAGCAAATTTGTTCCTCTGTAATCCGTTCTTCTGAAGGGACGGCACAAGGGGATGCCTTCTGCGAGCTTAGGTATCCCATATTTATACCCAAAGAATGTTCCCTCTTTTACACAGCGCTGCTAACTGTCTCGGGATTTGCCCTCACAAAGCAATGATAGTTAGATTTTATTCACATTCACGCTAATTTGGGTTTACTCAAATTAAGCGTTTCATTACATGACTTAATTTTCATTTTTTTTAATCATTATTATTCCACACCAACTCTATCTACCACATGGTCCTATTACCAAATGTATTTGACAATTAGGACCCCACTGTATTTAGTACAGATCACACTGTGAAGTTCCGGTAGACGTACCGGAAGGTTACACTGTCACTGCCTGCTGGCCTGAGTTCATCACCAACTCGTAGGCCCAGGACGTGTAGCCCGGTGCTCGTCATCGTCACCCCGTACAGCAAGCGCACGACGAGGTAGTGGAGAGGAAGCAAACGTCGACCGAGGACAAGCGGTCGATGATCGAAAACACGTGGTGGAGGTGTTGCGAGGGGGCTCGACGAAGAAAACAGGTCAGATAGATTGTAAAAAAGTGGGAGAAGAAGGGAGTAGTTAAAGAAACAAAAGAGGGAGAGTAAAAGTTGTCAGGAAAGTGATAAATCGTTAAAGTTGAGTAGTGAAGTGCTTGTGGAGTTATTTTCTGTGTCACGTGCGATCATTCCCAGTTCCGCGTAATTGCAATCGATAAGCACCGACCCTGAGGCCATTGGAGTCAGGGAGTCTCAGAAGTGCTCCTGACTGTGGTGGCTGACACTTACAATTGAGTTAATGGTTGCAGCTAAATGTCACCAAAACGATTGTTTACATAACGAGTAACTTACCCTAAACGACAATTGTTATTTAGCGCTTGATAAGATTAAGATTGGCTTCATGAGTATGTGACATATTCTTATCTAATTCCAAGTAGTGATTGTTCATTTTCCTATTTTTACTCTTAGTTATGAACGGCTTATCTTCAGCTTGGATAGAGTGAGGAATCGGCATTTGCCATTTGATTTGTTAGACATCAGTAACTGTTTCACCATTGGACAGTAAAGGTCGTAGGCTGTTCTGACCCTACAGGTCAGGTGTAATATTACTTGCCAAAAAGGATAAAATTATCATTAATACAGTGCATGTGTACACAGTATACAGTACAGTGTTTTACTGCATTTGTTTATTTTTGTGGCCATAAAAATTACATGAGATTTTCGACATGATTGAAGTGCATCCTCTTGGATGTAATATTAAAATTATTATTATTATTATTTAACTTTATTAAGGAGGCTTTCAGCCTTGGGCTGGTTCGCCTCCAATCTTAAAATTATTATTTTTTTTTGCTGTGTAGATGGATAGATGTAAAGGTGGTCACGAATTCACGGTCTGCTAGTGTTGGTGAGTTATTTGCCGTTAATGTTCATGAAAAGTTCACCATTTTGCCATAAATAATACCAATACAAACAAAAATCCGGACGGATCCGAGATGGAAAATGACAGGTGGTCAGGAACTTACGGTCTCCCAGTGTTGGTGAGGTCTTTGCCGTTAATGTTGACGAAAAGTGCACTATTTTGCCATACAGAAATTCAAACCAAATTTTTTTTGGCGAATATGGACGGTTTTTAACCTGTTTCATATGACCGAACGGTGTACGCTGGTCACAAATGCCGTGCCAAACTGATTTCCTACGCAATTATTCAATCTTTGATGTGACTTTCGCTAATAAACACGAGAAGCATTTCTTATAGAAAACTTGCCATAACAAAATCGTTCATTTTAGTAAACAAACTAACACTTCTTCCGACTTTTACTCGCCTAGGGACGGATCTATTTCATTCAACCGAAAGGTGTATTCTGCAGTGCTGCGAGCTGTCACCAATGTCAATTGGCCTAGCAGTGAATTTCACCTTCGACACTGATATTCGTACAACGGCGCCGGTGGTGTAGTGGTAAGCGTGATTACCTCTCACCCCAGCAGGCCTGGGTTCAATCGCAGTCGGCGCCGCCGGGATGTTCTGGGTCATAACATCTCTGATCACGCCTTCCTTCGGATGGGAAGTAAAGCCGTTGGTCCCCGGTTCATGAGAGCTGATGGGTCGATAGGTAGGGTCCAGGTGTGGGAGCTGCCTTCCTGGCACGGACGACGGAAAAAACAAACCAAAGGAAAAAAAACTGTTTTTCGTAGTAAGCATAATATCAGGCGTACGGCTTTGACATTACTATTCATATCAATTTCACTAAAGTAAAGTTAAATATATTGCTTTTATCTCAATAAAAGAACTGTTTTGTATAACTGTTGCATTGTTTTAATATTACTGATGGGTTTTCTAAAGATCGGTACACGATTAACTGGCGCATATAAGTAAAATTTACTACAGAACTATGAATGTCAATGGCCCCTTTACGATGTCAATAATAAATGTGAGAACTGATACTGATATCAGGTAGGAGAATTTACGTATTCTCGGCAACCTAAGCAGCGACCTTCTTTCTATAGCCTTTTTCTCTATGTAACGCACACATATGCAGTATTGGTTTGTTTACAATCTTTTGCTGCCAGCTGCTCTAACAATTTCAGTCGAAAGAATTGTCAAAAACTGTTTTGAAAGGCTTTTACAAAGCTCCAATCTTCTCTAGTGAGAGCGAGTATTGTCGGCAACCAGTTTTTCTTCGGCAACCGTTCCATTTGAACTGCATGAAAATCTGCTGTTCTATTATCGGCAACTCGAAATCAGCTACAATTTGTAGTGCGTGTGTTTCATTTCAATAAAACCTTGCAAGATTGCTTTTTCTCAGTGGTAAAAATATAGTCAAATTGAAGCTGAAAGCATAAAGAATCGTTTGCATGCATTCAGCGAAGTGTTTTCGTAAGAAAATCCAGTGAAAATAGTGTTTCAATTTGGGTTGCCGAAAATAGTCTGTGATGCCAAAGCCGTCATTTCCCCTAGTTAAGAAAACTCAGCGTTGCCAAATTGATTTCCCACGCTAGGGATCAATCTCTAGGTGTGAATTTTGCAAATAAACACAAGGAGCCATTTTTTTATTTTTCTTTATTTGTTTTCCGTCGATCTTGTTTTCAGTACCGATTACCATACTACCGACGCCACGGATCCATCACCGCATGGACCGGGGACGTAGGGCTTTACTTGCCTTCCGAAGGAAGGCTTGATCAAACATTTTATGCTTCAGAAAATCCCGGTGGCGTCAACTGGGATTGAACCCAGGTCTTTTGGGTGAGAGGCAATCACGCTTACCACCGGTGCACCCATGGCTAAAAATCTTCATAATAAAGATTTGAAAAAAATGCCATATAAAATGGGCATAATTCTATACAAACATTTGAAATGGGTCTATGTCCAAACGTAGACAAACCAGAAAATGAAGTAATGAAATTGGGTTGTTAGCGGAATGCTAAATAAAACAGCAAAAGGGTTTATCTTCCATTTAATTCCACTTAATTAATTTTGGTATCCATGACAGATACGTATTTCGACTACAATGTGCAGTCTTCATCAGTATCATTCCCACTAAAGAACTTATCAAAATCTAACCCCCTTAAGTACTCATCCCCTAGGTAAAAAAGTCAAGATCATAGGTATAAAAATGAAACTACAATGTGTTGAATCGGAACCTACCTAACTAATAAAAACCAAAGATTTAAGTAAGCTAAAGGAGAAAAATCTATACAAATCTCTAATAAGGAAAATCCCCAAAGGCTTGGTAGCCATCATAATGAAGTAATGAAATTGGGTTGTTAGCGGAATGCTAAATAAAACAGCATCAGTATCACAGTATATTTTGATAAGTTCTTTAGTGGGAATGATACTGATGAAGACTGCACATTGTAGTCGAAATACGTATCTGTCATGGATACCAAAATTAATTAAGTGGAATTAAATGGAAGATAAACCCTTTTGCTGTTTTGTTTTACAGAAAATGAATTTTAAATTTTTCCGCCCCTATTCAATTCATGTATAAGAAAATTTTAGTATTTTATGCATTTATATTCTTCACAATAACAATACTCAAGTAACCAACAAGCCCGCTGTACGACTGATATAATGTTCGGAAACCCTATATTTACCTTATATCGCAAAAAGGGCGATTATCGGGTAGTTAGCGGGCTTGGTGGTAACTTGGGTAGTAACTGTATCTCAGTATACAACCTCCAAAATATGCGAAAAGCTTTCAAAAATATATGAAAATCGATAACAATTTAATTTAATAAATTAATAAGCCTTTTTGTGAATCTTTCAATGGATATGCCCTTTTTAGTAAGCCGTTGTGCTTGTCATCACGAATGGTACGTTCTTTGCTAAGCCTTTTCGCAACGTCAAATAAATTCAAAACAACAAAGCCTAGCTTTGGTTTGAAAATTTTCAATCATCGGCCCTTCTACGTCACTAGGCTTATCAATGAAATGAAATAAATGAATGGTTGCCCCTTTTAGCGTGCGGGCATATTAATGAATCGAAAAACTTCGTTGATCGGCCGTTTCGACAATCGAGTTATTTTTAATGATTTTTCTCGATTATGCGGAATTTTCCTACACGATTAGGCTATCAAGCGGTGCTAAAGAATGGTATCAAAACCCGATGTGTTTACGTTTTGGACATAGGCCCATTTCAAATGTTACTCGAGAATACATTTTAGTAACAAACTAACACTTCTTCCTTGTGTGTCACCTTTGTAAGCCTTATACAAAGCTGACGCACAAGGCGCCCTGTCGCCAATTTTGATAAGTGCTACGTTCACTGAGTCAAATAGACTTAAGAATTTCATAAGACTCGACTTATGAACGACACATATGAATTTCATAAGCGCGACTTATGAATTATTTTCGTTTATCATGAGGTAGCTCTTATACGCCTATAACCATTAAAATTTGCAAGCGTTGGAAGACGAGTGGTCAACACACGTCCATGGTTCGGTTCCAGTCTGTCGCATTTTATTATTTTTTTATCATCTTTATTTTTCATAAGGCAAATCAGTGAAATTCATACTGATTTCTTGTGGCTAAAATTCATAAGTGGATCTTATGGAATTCTTACGTCCATTTGCCTCAGTGATTGGATAAAAATAACGTTTAGAGGATGTTTTAGTATATGTGTCATGGTAGGAATTAAATGAAAATTTGATTATCCTACACAGAAAAAAAGTTGTTGAATATTATATCCAAACTGCTGCAACCAGGTCAATCCATCAGTTGTGTAATATAACGTTGTACGATGTACATCAATTTTGCGAACAAAATTACAACCATTGATGTAATATTGTATCTGCTTTTTGCTATTACATCATTATTTCATACATCAGCTTGAATAACATTGATCGATATTACAATTTTTTTTTTTTTGCTGTGTACATTTGGTGGAAAGTCGCCAACATGTATTTGGCACCACTGATGGAAGTCGACATACGAAATAGCTTAAATGTCATATATGTATATTGGTATACTGGTTCGACGAGTGCAGTGTACTGGTGCATCTATTTCAGATCAGTTTGGCTGACCCTTTGCGGGGGAGTTTAGCAGGCACCGCCTAGAATCATGGAATAGGCTTGAAACCTCGACGACGAAGTGAAAAGTGAAAGGTGACAGACAAAGAAGAAGTGTAAGTATGTTGTTATTCATTAACTGAGCTACAAGTTTTGAAAATGTGAATCAAATCGAGAGTGAGGAATCTTTTGTATGGTCAATAGAGTGTAGGGGTGTTATTTTTTCATGTATTGTATCCAAATTCCCCATATAAAATTCAAACGAAAAGCGACAGCTCATCCCTATTTAGATCCCTCATAATGAGCCTAAATTTGCAGAGAATGGTGTTCGCATCTAAAGGCACTTATCTAGAGGTTGACCCGTGGAAAATTAGAATTTTTATTTTTGTTGGCTAGTGAACAGTGAAAGGCTTTCGAAGGTAATAACACTCTGACTTGCGATTGTAGAATAATTGTATATTTCAGTTTCAGTTAGTTTTAATAATTAACCAATTGCGCAGATAGAATTCAATATTGTTTTATGCTGAATCTTTCCCAAGTCCTATGTTGATATGTTGCTTCCTGTTGCTTACGAATCGACCCGATACCATGTGGCAAAAGTCACACGCAATCGATTATGCTTATTGCAAGTATGCTAAGCTATGCAAACAATCATTTCATTCATTGCGCCGTCTGCGTGCGTTGGTGATCGCCTTGCGCTTGACCTAGTAAACATGTTTATTGCATTTGGGATTTCTTAGGAATGTTTATTTGAGACCCGGTGGAAATGCTTGGAATAGGTACATTAATGTCATTTTGATTTACAAGTTTGTTTTTCGTTTATGTTGCGCATCGACACTTTTAACGGAAATGATTGCGTCTGTTTTTAAATTGGTTTGCGCATCCACCACACCAGTCTACTAATCCATCTAAGGAGATTTTCACGTCCGGTTAAATTGGTGCGATATATGACAGAGCTAATTTCATTCATAGGTTAGGAAAATAATAAACAACTTTACATGGTGATGCACGCGCTAGTGTGCGTGCGATAAACATGACTAATCTTTATAGAGTTCTCCAGATGCACAAAAGTGTGCGTGAGACCACGCACTACCTTTTTAAGTAGTTTTGATATCGAGATACCTTTTTGTTTCTTCTGCTTCTTCATTTTTTATATATGGATGTTTGATTTTAGTGTTCGTGAGATTGCGCTTGGAGATCTGTATAGGGCTCGCACAAGCCGCTGCTCGTTTATTATGTTGTATGCGTGTGAGTGAATATTAGGGTGCCAATGAAACGTTTGGGGAAAAATCAACCATCGAGTTTTTTAAACGAACCATACACAAAATGATCATCGCCTTGAAAAAAAAACGTCCCTTTGGGCTCAATGGAACATGTGCCACAGTGGTTTAAAGTTTGAACTAATTTTATCTAAAAAATATCCAAAGGTTTTAGAAATTTCGGAAATCGAAGACTTTTTTTTAATGCCAAAATGTCTTAAAACCATGAAACGTCGAGATCTAGTTTTAACGTTTTAATTTCAAAAATCAACTCTTTGGGCCTTTGGAAAAATTTTGAAATCGGTAAAAAAAAATTATGATGTAAAATGACTTACAAATGCATGAAATGTCGGGATTTTTTTTTTTACGGAAACCGACTTTCTGAGATTTAATGAATTTTTGGAAACGTTTTTTTTTTTATTTGATGCCAATTGAGTTAAAAATACATGAAACGTCGAGAACTAGTGTTACCTGATAAAACACATGTGTTCAAAATTTAAATATCGTTGATATAGAATTTTTTCGTGAAATTCCAAGTAAAATAACATCCCAGAAAGTTGAGAGATGATCAAACTGATTTGTACCTTCCTTAAAGCTGTCCTTGCTCGCTTTCTACTCTCTATATAAAAATTTTCACAGTGCCGTACTCTAACGGAACTATCAACTCTATACTTTCATCTCCTCATCTATCGTATAAAAATTACCACTTTAGTCTGTTATTTGAAATTAGTATTTTCAACTATGTAAATATTTAGTATTGTTTTGTAGATAAAAGATGTACGAGAATTGATTTGTTTTCCATCGATCTTGTTTTCCGTGCTGAGGACCAATGCTACCGACGCCAGGAAGGCAGATCCCACACCTGGACCCTACCTTACGATCCATCAACTCATGGACCGGGGACCAACGGCTTTACTTCCCTTCCGAAGGAAGGCGTGATCAGAGATGTTATGCCTCACAACATCCCAGCGGCGCCGCTGTGATAATATGATAGATCAGCATGAAATTAAGTATCAAGGAGTAAAATTTTCAATATCAAACGTAGAAATTACGGTATCAAATACATAGTATGTGTATGTGATATGACATAGGTTTGATATTGAAACGGAATTGCAGGCAAAATTTTACGATGTTATTTTGTGATATGTTACATAATGCTCATCCATATCGTTTTCTGGTAATGTTGAATGTCAGAGATATTTTCTTCAAATCGGGTAGGATATCAAATTTATTAATCAATGAAAATACGCCTCCAAACGCGTAGGTGCACGGTACCAGGTAGTTCATTGTCTTAATTGAGGAATACTGATACTGTAGGTACTTCCTCCACGAATACGACAAGTTTGATGTTCTTGGCCATGATGATGATGCGCTTGGTGAAACTGGCCCACGTTTCTCACGATGACCAACTGTACCCGAACAGTGCTGGTGTAGCTTCTGCGCTACTTCTCTGGCAGGAACGGTCTTCCAGGTAGCCTTGGTAGAAAACTGCTTGCGGGGACCCTTTCTTCTTGTCCGCATATCGACTGTTTTGAATTGCTTCGTGATGAACGATATGAACACGTCTGACGTTCAAATGGAAATGCGGCTTCGGCTTGTTTCGTTTGGTACCAACTATGTGATGACTCTGTTAGGAAAGACACCTCGTTATATAAGCAAATGTATGGGTAATGTTGATGCTTCCAATGTTCGTTAAATTTCATAGTTGTTTAACTATTTGTACTATGTGCCAAAAAATGCTGGATAAATTCCTCGTCGAATGGCATATTACATGATGTTTTTCACATTGTTGCTTTGAAGAAATATGCGTTTGAAAACACCCTCTCATTTTCGATTTCATCATGTGACTTCCAGTATAGTAAAGAAAGACGTAGTCCTACGTCAAAAAAAGTTACATCAGATATTTGGACCAACCCCTTTGAGATAGATAATTGGTTTCTTCAGGAAAATAGCTTCAAATTAATTAAGCCACAATTTTGAAAAGAATTACGCCATTAGTAAAACATAACAATAAACCACTAACCATTCAAAATTCAACTCACATCAAAAGTTTGGTTAAAAATGGTGGACATTTTCGGGAAGACACATCACAATAAATAACTTTGCCGCGGGCGAGAGGGTGCTATTGGCAAAACTGGAAAAGTTACTGACAATGTAAGTACACAAAAAGCCCGATTAGTACCCGCAGCCTCTCAAAATAATGAAATTATATTGAAAATACTATTTGCGAAAAATTTTCTTCATGTAGACCCAAGTAATTTTAATTTGGTCGTCCTCAAATTGCACTGTCGATTTCGCTCTCACCAATCCCACCTTGGAAGATATTTAACGCTTGGTTTCCATGACATTTCTTCAGATGTTTTCTTTTGACTCGATTATTCCAAACCAGCTGGTTAATGCTCTTGGTCATATTTCATAACATCGGAAGGGAAGTAAAGCCGTTGGTCCCCGGTTCAGTTGAGTTGATGGGTCGATAGATAGGGTCCAGATATGGGTGCTGCCTCCTTGGGGTCGGAAGCATTGGTGCTCAGCACGGAAAACAAGATCGATGGAAAATAAATCAAGGGAAAAAAATATAAAAATCTGGAAGTAATCTGCATAATTATCATAATAACAATTTTTGTTGTAGCTTTCAGTACCTGATGACGATTTTCACCAAAAATTATTTTTATTTTATTTGCAGCTGACTCCAGATCGATGTCATCAAGATAGTTGAACCAAGATCAAGCATATTTCTGGAATCCTTACACAAACCCATCGCTCACTTACAACGAACCGGACCGACGATTATAGAAGCCGTTTCCTCAAGTCTTATTTTACTACATCTGGTAAGCTCGTGAATTTGACTTTTTGCACCACTACTACTGTACGGTGGCGTTATGTTGCGTGGTTGAGCTAAAAGTTTCGACAAATTGATGGTTTAATCTTTGTTAACTAAAAAAGATAAATCCTTTTGAAAATTCAACCTTAAATAGTTCTTTATTTTTAATTATGTTACTAGAGCTGGATAGCGATCAGACTGTAAACTGCCGCTCATTGTAAGTCGGTCCCAATGAGCCGGTGCAAAACATCTAAACGCGTTGTCCCATTACATAATAGGAGCAATGACACGAAGCAAGTCTAAAACTAATTTTTCTCTGCTTGCTTATTTTTACTATGGGACAGACTTGTCATAAGCGTCAGTATATGACTTTAATGAACAACAAATATTCTTTTAAGAGCTAAACAAAAGTGCAAAACATGTAATTCCATTTAGCAAATTCTTTATCCATGATGCGTATTCCGGCAACAATAGGTTCGTATTTATTATTCGATATCGTAGCAGCTTAGTATTTTTACGTGGAGGGTTATTATAACAGCAACTGCGCCTTTGTTCGTGCTTCGTAAATGATTTCAAGCTAATCGTTCCTTTTTAATTTGTTTCAGACAATGGAACGCCGCAACTTAATTTATAATTTTCTGATAATCTTTACCTTGATCGACAAAGGCACCACCTTTAGCATATTAAATCTCGAGAACAGTACCATTGTGACTGACCAACCCGTCATCAACCAAACTATGTACGTCACCTACCCAGACCTCTTTATGCTCGACATGAGCAACCAAGCGGATTTCGAATTCCCCATAGACAAAGTTATGCTGATTCACGATGGTCTATCACGATACCATTGCAACAAATGTGGAGTGCATTGCATCTACCGGGAGTCCTTATCAGCACTGCCACAACTAACTCATCTTATGCTGGAAAACAACAGCCTCCAATGCATACATCCGGATGCGTTCGAGAACAATATTCGTTTGAAAGAACTTAATCTTGCTGGTAATCAACTTTCTACATTCAATCCGGAAGCAGCAATTCGGCACATTTCTAATCTCTTGATACTGAATCTGAGTCTGAACGATAAATTCGACTTGAACAGGGTAGATCTTCATGGTACAAGGTTGATTTCATTCACTTGCAATCATTGCCACACTACAATCCTCAATCGAACAACATTGACCAGCATGCCGAAGCTTTCGCAGCTGGATCTTTCGAACAATGGAATGGAGCAAATCGATGATGATGCGTTGCTACAGGCAAGGTATATCCAGATTTTATACGTAGATGGAAATCGGAACTTGCAACGGTTGAACCTCAAATCGGAATCGATCAAGAAACTGAGTGCCAAAAAATGTAATTTGGGAGGAACACTGAATACATCTAAGCTGCCGATGCTTGAATTTATCAATGTAAGAATGAATAAGATTAACTGGTTGGATGAGCATGGATTTATGCAGAATACAGTCCTCAACGGTGTCCTGCTGGACGATAACTTAATCGAAAAGGTCCCTAATTTTCTGTTGGATCTTCCTTTGAAAGGGTTGGAGAAGCTGTGCTTGGATAGGAATCCATTGCAACCGGACCTCCAAGTTGATGCAGCCAAGGATTTGTATGCAGCGAAAAAACTCCGTAACAGTTGTTTGGATGATGCTAATAATTTGCATAAGTTTGAAAACTATTTACCGAACATCAATGGAAAAGCAGTTTACAAGAAGTCTCCTCTTCATAACCTTCGTAGTGATGGATTGACGGTAGATCTTTCGAATAGAAACATCGTCTACATAGAACAAGAATATCTAGTTGATAATGAAAATGTTAAGAAAGTATTATTTGATCATAACCATTCATTTGACTTCCAACAAAATAGGGTATTTCTTAAAAGCTCATCGATTGAAGGATTATCATTGAAGAACTGCTCGATTACGACAATATACGAGGCAACGTTCAAAGAACTACACAATTTAAAATACTTGCATCTCCAAGGCAACAAAATTCAATTCATTCGTTCCGAATCCTTGTTCAAAAATAATCCAAACATATCATTCATAAGCCTGACTAACAACAAACTTGATTTTATTGCTGCACTTGCATTCCAAAAGTTAGAGAAATTGGAAATCCTTCAGCTTGACTGGAATGAACGTCTATCCAACAAAGCCAACAATCCGTTCCTACTGAGCAAATCACTACGGAAGCTCAGTTGCAGACACTGTCGATTTGAATGGCTGGATGCAATGACCCTAGTAGGGTTGCCAAATCTGCTAGAGCTGAACCTAGAGCACAATAAGATTGCGATCCTGGATGCCAATAGCCTGCAGTGGACAACTCAACTGAAGTACTTAAATCTACACGACAATCATCTGCTGGCCTTTGAACCAAACATCAACGAGCTGAGCCGATTGAAGAAACTATGTCTGGGAGGAAGTCCAATTTTTGACTTGGAGCATCCGAAGAATCAAGTTCTGATTGATAATATCCAGAAGATGATGCAGCTAGACAAGGATTGTCCCGATCAACAATTCTCCAAGGAATTGGATGAACGATACAACATAATAAGCAAAGACAAAAATGAAACCAAGCAAGCATTGGTGAATTTTGTAACATCATCGGCCGCGTGTTATAGGACAGATATGGCTATTCCAGTATTGCTTAGTTTTTTTTTTATTTTTTATTCTTAGTTCTATTTATTAAGCCTTCGTTTGTACCGGGCGTCAATTGAGCCCCAAATTTAATTAATCTACTGCTAGAACTGCTAATCCGAATGCACAATTCGATTATCTTATTATGAATTTCACATTCAGATTATTGTAACTACGTATTCAACCAAAATGTAAGCATAATCTTTAATTTATTTTTGTTAATTCGTTTTACTCATTTTATTCACATTTGACTATAGCTTTGGAAGTTCACATAACAGTGTAGCCTATAAAACAAACCTCGTAGTGTTTCAATCATATCTGTTCACATCTCTAAACAATGTATGACAACATGTGAATAATTTCATGTTGGTAGCTTCAACCGTTATCGTATTATCCTCGGATTAAGTCCTGATCAAAATGTCCGATTGTTTTGATGTCGACTTCAGAGTTAATCAACACGCCTCTAAGCAAAAATGTTGCAGATCATCCAAACAGGGACGGGATCAAAAGTTAATCTGAGGTGGAGCTTACCGTCATCAAAGTTTGTTTCCGTTCGTCTATTCGTCTCGGTTCCTACACCGGGGATGTAAAGGCCCACGCACATTAGATCCGGATCGGACGCGTTGCGGCAAAGTGACAGCTAAATCTATTATCTAACTGTCAAATTTACGTCAACGCAACGCAAACGGATCTAATGTGGGTGGCCCTTAAGATTTGCTCACAAGAAAAGCATCAAACAGTTTTTGATCTGTTTCACACGCTAAGAAAAAAGTATGCATAAATGTTTAAATTTTAAACAGTTTCGAGAAAACCCGCACATATTCATAAAACGAATAAACGCTGTTTACTCATCGGGTGAATAAACGCGTTTTTCTCGAAAGTGATTAAATTTTAATCATTAATGAATAAAGACGTTTTTCTCAAAAGTGGTTAAATTGTATACACCGGAACGATTTTAAATGGTTGGTTTCGTGTATTTCAAGATATTATATAAACAATTACATTCAAATAAAAATCAATAAAAAGTAATATTTATTTCAATTATACAATTAAGAGGTGGCAGAGCAAGATCGCACTATTTTGCTCTTAAGTTTTCAAGACAGTACAATGTCGGCCACTTTGTCATCGCTCGACATCCCGTCCAGGTGGAACTAGGATGTTTCTTTTCACGATCCCTTCGTCGACCTTCCCGTGTCGTGCTCGGCAACCATTCCGTTCCGTTGCCCGGCGAACTCGATCCGAATCGTCGTGTTGCCGTTTGCAGCCCTGTAATGGAGATCAAATGTTACAAAATAATGAGAGTCGATTCGGATCGTCGTGCTGCCGATTGAAGCCCTCTGTAATGGGGTTCAAAAGTTACAAAATAATGTAGGAGTAAGAGGGGCATAGTGAACAGGGGGGGGGCATAGTGAGCATTCCGTGCACCAGCTTGGACTTCCGGCCGTTCGGAACAAATTTATTGGTGGTAGGATCAGTATCATAATGATATTGAACCTACTACCAGTTGATTTGTTTCATGCAGCTAGAGATCCATGGTCAAACTGCGGGATGCTCACTATGCCCTTCTCCCCCTACCTTGTTAGATATACTTACTATTAGCATCGGTCATCTCTTTGGCCTGATCCCACACGGCGACAGGATATTCCAGTCGGCATGTCCAGCAATATATGTCATGGGAAGCCAACCCTACCGGACAACGCTTGTAATAGCTGAATCTGCAGCTCACTAGCTCCTACGGAAAAACTTATGAAGAGAAGTTCTTACCGCTCCCTGGAAATAATAAGATAGTTAAAAATTACTATTAAATTGTATCTAGATTATAAATAATACTATAAACATTATATCTACCTGCAAAAAGTTGACCAATGATGGCCGCTGCTTTTCGGAAATAATTGTTCCCAAGTTTTTTTTCAGTCACCAGTGAATAAAATTTAAACACTTTTGTTGAAAAAAGGTTTTCTCTAGAAATGTTTAAATTCTATACACTTTTTTGCTATAAATTTCAACCACTCTATGACAGCTCGAACAAGCTCCCAAAAGTGGATAAAAAAATAGTCATTAATGCATAAACTCGTTTTTCCGTGCATACGATCGGACAGACAAACCTCGGTCTGTACACGGTCCAATGGGTTAACCCTACTCTTGAGTAATTAATCAACTCAACACGGTTATCATAAATCGCTTAAAATTAAATCAAACTTTACTCTTCATGCACTTTTAGCAGACCACACGTTTCTGTGTTCAAGAAGGATAAACACGCCCATGCATGGCATGCTTGCGCATCTAGGTTACGTTAACCTTCCCCTTGCTGTTTATCCTTAACGAAGAATATAATTATAATGTTTAAACGTTAAAAATGTCACATTCTTGTTTGTAGAGCCATATCAGATCTGAGTTACAAAAATAAATAAACTTACAAGATATTTGAGAAATCCCAGATCTGAGAGGGCATAGTAGGGTGGAGCGCTACTTCGTCGTAATCGCCCATTTCCGTTCTATCAATAAGAAAAGATCAATAATATCAATGATTGTACCGTGCAGAAATCAATGATAGGTTTGTTCTGATGCGTTAGTTTATTAGCTACAACATAAACCCTGTTAGAGCGCATTGTATGAATATTTACGCTCATTGTACTCAAAACAAAAGAAGCGCTCCTAGCGAATCCCCTTTTTCTACGTTTATCCGTAGGACGAAGAAAATCTAATGGCGTTTCAATGCATTAGGATTGAATTGAAGCTCGTAGAACGAATTTAGAATCAAGAAGCAGTGTTAGATTTTGAACAATATCTCAACAATTTGTGACTCTTTATCAAATCCAACGGTACGTATGGAAAAATGAATAAATTTAGAAGTCATCTTTGATATAAATATTCCATTTTTTTTTCAAACTCGTTCAGAAAACAGAGGTAAAGCTCGGGTTGTGCTTAGTAGGACGGAAATTGTTAAAGTTCGGTATTGAAAGGGATATGTTAAACCCTGGACAAATCATGTAAAAGTTTTACATAATTATAAGTTGCTAATGCAACACGTAGCCGTAAGATCACTTTGTACAATTTTGTTGAATAAAATTAAGTTTCGTAGGTTACTCCAGATTTTTCTCTTTTTGAATCCGAAAGAACTTTCGGCCTAGAAGTGAAAACTTCTCTCCTTAACCGGAGAAAAAAGTAGCTCCTAGAAGAACTCTTGACTTGGAAGTGAAAACTTCTCTTCTTAACCGGAGGAAAAAGGAGCTCCTAGAATCGAGAAACAGTGTCTGACCTAGTAAGCGAAAGACTCTCCCTAACCGGAGAAGAAAGTAGCTTTTGGCGGCGACAACGGTCAACTAGCATATCACTTGGAAACACCTTTACCTCACCAGGCTTCATAAAAGCCATCTATGACAGTTAAATTAAATGACAAGGAGAGAGTAGCAAAATCATTCACTCACTGATCATCTCTGTTGGACAGTTATTACGTTTCGTGCGAAAAATCTTAAATTTTTGAATTGCTCCAAAAACTTGCAAGGACCATCATGGAACCAACATGGAACTTCGAAAAATCAGTGCGAAACCGAACATTTTGTCAGTGCAAACCTCAACCTGAGCTGTGTTTTAAAAGCAAACGATCAAAGTGACGTTTGTCCGAAAACAAGCAGATTAAATCTTGATACGCGATTCAGGTTGGAACTGAATAATAAACGAATTTGCTATTAATTTTAGCGAAGATTTATTGAAATACATTGCGTTTCCTTACGGACATCAAAGTAACGAGTTGAAGTTTTCTTTGTTAATGGATACCAAGTAACATTTTGGGTTTTATTATGGTTCTGTAGACCACGATTTAGACTTGTAGAATGCTATAAAACCTCAATAAAGCTTACAATGTTACTTGGGATGGCTTTCGAATGCTCGGTGCATCAAGTGCCTCAAATTAAGACTGATGAAATAGAATAAAATAATTACATTTTATCCAGCAACGCGTCGTGTCGTGTGTAGTAAAAGATATCACGGTCATGAGTCCAGGGAACAGGACCGATAATACATCATATTTTTTTTTAATGATCTAACATACCTTATTATATCCACCACAGTGGGATTGGTTTGTTTTAAATTGAAAAAAAGGAAACTACTTATATCTACTAAATATGTACAACTACAACTTTTTGATTTACGGTTTAGGGACTTGAGGTCAATTTAATTGTTTGTTAGAAAGTTTGAACATACTGAGAGGTTAGCACATATCATCAGTAAGAGACGTATGTGTGAGAAAATTAACGAAAAAATCTAAGTTGCGGTAAAAGCACATATCGTCGATAATAGACGATTGTTGTGTAGCACGGTTGCGCAAAAAGGCTAGGGTGGGAAACGGATTCGAAACTCAAATGTCATTAGCCAAATACATCCATAGACCATATAGGTCCACCGTTGTCTAATTGGCAATGCACCCGTGTACTGAATGGGAATTGTGGGTTCGAATCCCACCGGTGCCCTTAGATTTTTTCGCAAATTTTCTCACACACACGTCTCTTACCGATGATATGTGCTTATCTCTCAGTATGTTCAAACTTTCTTACATAGAACTACAACTAACCCTGGCGTTAACATCCATACCTCTCACGCCAAAATTACGTGTTCAAATCTCACCCCGGACATGACATGACCCAAGAGTGTTAAAGTGACATTAAAAAAAACTACAACTAATATACAACTACTTTATATACCTACTCTACTATATACAAATTGCTCATCAAAGCATGTTGTGATAAAATTCCCACACCGGAGCTGCGTAGAGGATCGCATTTGCTATGATTTGTTTGTAGACAGCCAGTTTGTTCACCCTTGAGAGGCGGGATCTGCGGCAAGTCAGTGGATACACAGACACCTAACCAGGGCAGAACACTTGACTACAGTTTTCTCTGTATGCGAACGGAAGAGGAACTTTGCATCGAACAACATCCCGAGATAGGTTACTTCGGCAGACCACTCAACCCTTGTACCATCCATGATTACAGTACAAGAGGGATCCGGTTTCAGTTTGGGCGATTGCCGATGGAGGAACATGATCGCT